GGAGGTGGCGGGCGAGTTGCGATAAGCGACGGGAGCGCAGACCACCCAGTCGGTTGATATACGCAACGGTCGCTGTGTTGTCCGTGCGGACTAGTACATGCTTGCCTCCTAAGCGCCCTTTGAGACGGCCCCGGGTAAGGTGCACTGCCAGCAACTCGAGGCAGCCAGTGCAGTTGGGGCCCCATCCAAACCCCTGACACTGCAAGCCCGTTGTACGTGGCCCCCCAGCCGGTGGTTGAGGCATCCGTGCAAACCACAGAATGCCTGGAGACCTGCTCCAGGGGCATTCCTGCCCGGAGGAATGCAAGGTCTGACCACGGGGTGAAGGTTTGGCGGGAAACCGGTGTAACTTGGACCCGGAAGGTGCTGCGTTGCCATGCCCACCTCGGGACTCGGCCATGGAGCCAGTGCTGCAGTGGTCTCATATGGAGCAGCCCCAGCGGCGTGACTGCCGCCGTAGCTGCCATATGCCCCATGAGCCTCTGAAACTGTTTCAGTGGGACCGCCATCCTGCTCTTACCGAGTCCCCTCCATACCGGGAAAATAGATCCTCTGCGTCGGGGAGAGTTTGCTCTTTTCCCAGTTGACCCGAAGGCCCAACAGGCTGAGGTGTGAGAGCACCAAATCCCTGTGTTCGCACAACTGATCCTGAGACTGCTTCGTCGAGGTAGTTGAGAATGCGAATGCGCTGTTCTCTCAAGGGAACAAGGGGTACCTCCGCAACTTACGTGAAGACACGGGGCAACAGGGACAGCCCGGAGGGCAGGACCTCATACTGATATGCTCGTGTGATATCATACTGATATTCTGGTGTGTGTGTAACACTGACTTGCGTTCGAGCAGAGGGTGCGTAGGTAGTCCGTTGGTTCGTCCTCCCGATCCACCCACTGCTGCTCACTGGCGAGAGAGGAGGGTGAGTGGGATACGCACTAGGGCGTCCACAACCCCCCCGTCCCTTCTGGGGACCCAGAAATAGAGGAATTGCTCTTTGTCAAGAATTTAGGTACCACCGACCAAGAGGTCAATGGTGGAAAAAGATGAAAAGAATCTCCGCCCGGCCCTCCTCCGGGGGAGGGAGTGGTGTGCTTACCATCTCTTGAAGAGCACGTCCCTCCACCTCTGGGTCGCCCATCTCCGGGCCTCTTGCTCTCTCGCTTGCCACCAGGTTTGGTGGGGGCCTGGACGGGCGGGGCGGCTGCTTTGCTGGAGGCCGCAGGAGCGCTGCTCTTGTTTTGGCGGTTGCAGGGGGCTGCCCTCGGCGACAGCAGCAGCTGCACGCCGGGGCAGGATGTACCTGATGGCCTCAGTCTGCTTTGGTCAGCGGAGAACCGCTGGGCAAGTTCTCCACCGTGTCACTGACAGGCCGGCCTGGGACACGGGGGGCGTTCAAGAATCGTGTCTTGTCCGTCTCGCGCATGTCAGCCAGTCACAGCCAGAAATGGCGCTCCCGGACCACCATAGTGGACATCGCATGACCCAGAGACCATGCCGTAACCTTAGTCGCTCGTGGCGCGAGGTTCGCCGCGGTGCGGAGTTCTCTGTGAACTTCCGGGTCGTGACCACCCTCATGCAAGTACCTCAGTGCCTTGGCCTGGTGCACTTGCAATCACACGTAGCGTGTAAGGCGGAGGCAGATTCTCCACAGGTCGTATAGGCATCGCTGGCCAGTCGAGTACCTACAGACCCGGGAGGGGAGGCACGGTTCTCCCTGCCGGTTGGAGGCGGTATTAGGACACAACTGCATTGCAACTGACCGCTCCACCGGGGGGAGCTGCCCCACCATCGAGGGTGGTGAAGGAGGAGGATCCAGCAAATCAGTTTCCGGCAGTAAAAAGGTGCCGTCCACGACCTGTTGAGCTCCTCATGCACCTCCGGGAAGAAAGGCACCGAGGCGGGGCGCTGAGA